AATATTGCACAATGATTACTCACAAAAAGCGATAAGGCAGCTTCGGATCGATTTGTTTCTAAGCTTATTGGTTTAAATTTAATACTGTTTTGTTGATGAATATTGATGGCTCCTACTGACGATTTATGTTTTTGGCTTTCTCCGTGATTCACCAAATCACATCGCTTTGCTCGGATAGTTACACAACAAGTTTTACAAAATGCTTTTGTTGAATCTTTTACGTATTCTTGAAGCCACTCTTTAAATAATTTGTCTTGTAGCCAGGCTTGTCGAAATTTTTGAGAATATTGCGGTTTTCCCATACTAAAAAGAAAATTAAATAAATTTCTAATAAGAATGTACACTAATGTGTGAACATGTCATGCCACTTACGTGAAATATTTTAAGTTGTATTTTATATATAAAACAAAATATAATTATTTATATACAAAAATCAGTAACAAAATAATCTTGTAATATTTGTAATATTTGTAATTTGTTAATCTCAAACAATTTGGATATAATACTCAAATGATAACTCAATGATTTGTTGAGTACTAAACTGCAATTCAAGAAATAATTTTTCTTGTCAATTTATTAGGAAAATATAAAATACCAGTTTTCCAACAATTATTTATATTTTTATATTCTTATATTTTACATGTACCTACTATAGTACTAGAGTTCTATACTATAATATGGTAACATATTTAATAGCGTTAGAATACTACATATTCTCTAGTCTTATACTCTTTATCTTAATGGCACAGATAAAATAAAACAAGTCCATTTAAGCGAGTCTACTAGGACCTTACATGATCTGTGGACTGTGTTAATGGCATTACTGTTATTTGTTCACCTATATACAATGGATACAATAGATCCAGGTACTTATTTTTATTGTTCGAATCACAACCAGTTTTTAACACACGGGTTAGGATATTATACTATAATAGTTGTAGACGTAGTAGTATAATAATATAGTAAATAAAATCTAGTAAAAAGTATAAAAAAAAAAAGCCAGAAATAAGCTAGTTAAAAATGATAAATAGCTAGGAAAAAGGCCAGGAGCTAGATCAAATAATTCATCAGCTAGATCAGATCAAAAAAGGCTAGATTTGGCCTTAAATCAGCTAACATGGCAACACTGCCAATACTGAATAATATATTGCCTATATACATTTTAAAAGGGGATCTAATAAACATATTTTTTCAGATATAGCATAGTACTAGGTAGTCCTGAGCACTTTATTGCCTATAAAAAATGACAACTTAAAAAAACTGTGACTGTTCAACTGCTTTTTGGTGAACTCGTTTTAAGTGCAACTCAGTGACAACCAGCAAACGGAAAAAAACCTAATTTATAAAATTATTACTATTTTAATCTGCAACCAATAGCAATATTACAATAAACAAAAATATATTAATGTTTGGTTTTTTTTTGTTAGTCAGATGGCACCACTATTGTACTTTTTTAGTAAAATGTATGCCTGAAACTTGCTCTGTGATTTCCTCTTTAATTTAAAAACTAACTTTGTAAGTATGACGATCGAATAAGTAGTTTTGGAACCAACCCGTTACAAAGATTTCCATACATAAATAAATTATTGTGATTACATTTTTAAATATTAATTATGAATCACTTATTCTGAAGCAAGTTTTCAAAACAATATTTATGATTCCATGATTTCCATTTTTTTATGTTGTAATTTCAAAAATATTACTTTACCTATTTAATTATATTAAGTATAATATTTATGTAAGATGGAATCAAGACATAGAATGTAGGTAGGTACTCATAAAATGTGCAATTGCTTTTGAATCATTAATAAATAAAAGATGCATATTATGAAATTTCAAAAATATTTAATGAAATATAAAAATGATAATTGTTATTAATAAAAATAATAATAAATATATTACTACATTGAATAGAATGAAGTTTGACATAGGTGCAAGGTCCTTCCTTGTTTTTATTCTGAATTATCAACATTTTAACTTTATAATTATTATTAGTAGATGCTTATTTTTGGTATTACAATAGCATTTGGACGGAGCAAGTTCAATTATTAAAATGGCTACTAAATAAGGATCAAATTTAAATATTTCAAATTTACAACTTTATTTTTAACATTTATTTGCAAAAGAAAATAGTCACATATTTTATGATGCCTGTTACATTCTTAAACTTTTTCGAAAAACACAAGGTGACTGGAAAGTATTTTTTGACAAGAATAACAATGAAATTAAGTGGCAATTTTTTAAGTCATTAGTAAAATTACCACGTGAAAAATATCTTCACTTAGCAATCAGGAACAGCCACATTAGTTACCATAAAGAAAAAATGAAATTCAAATTAGCGACCCAGGTGGTCAGGTATATTGAGTAGCAGAGTAGCTGATTGCTATTCATCGTTTTAAAAAATATTGGGCTAAAAGAATTTTCTAATAGAGAGTCAACCACATTTTTTTGTAAGATGCATTGGCGGATATTTGGTCACATCCGTGGGGGGCTTAAAATTTTTTTCTTATCCATTAACCATTAGCGGAAACAGACATTTTTTGTCGCTTTCGCCTATTAACTCTAGTACCTACTACTCTTACTTTATGAGGCACCAAGTATATTTAGGTAATAGGAAGGAACTTAAAAAAATAAAATATTGAATAGCTACTAATTTTTTTAAAATTTTAATTGTATATATATACATTATATATCTATTGTTTTGTGTAAATATATTAATAATCGTTTCAGTATCAATATATTTAGATATTTGTTTTTCAATATATAATATTGAGGTGTTGTTGAACCTTTCCTGCAACATAGAGGTTCATAGTCAAGTTTTTATTCAATGCATAGCAGAAAAATTCCTTTGACAAGTGGAGAAACCTTGAGGTATTGTAAAACAACTTGAAATAGTTTATATAAATTAGGGAAAGTCTGTTTTATTAAAAC